TGAGTTACATAAAACTGTCCATCAGCTGTTAGAAGAAACAAAAGTGATGTTAGAGGGGATAAAAATTACCTGAAAATTGAATCTCTGTCTCTTTGGTCTGGTTGATGTTCCTCTGTTGGACTCTACAGGTGAAGCTGTTGCTGTGTCTCTTCTCCACAGTCACTCTGCTGCTGACAGTATAGAGGTCATCAGGACCTCTGACTGTCTCTGTAGGTCCAGCAGAGAGGAGCTTTCCCTCACCGTCCAGCCACAACACCTCAGGCTCTGGATGCCAGCCTGCAGACTCACACTGTAACACCACTGCGCTGCTGTTTAAGTAAATTCCAGCTATGACCGCTGAGGAGACAGAACCTGATGATGAGAGAGAGGAGAAATGTGCGTGACATCATACTAAAGGTCTTCACAGAATAAAACCTAATTTACATAAATCTGATGTGAATACATTTGTTTGGGGGAAAAAAAGTGACCTACAGTGTTGAAGACATGAACAGGCCGAACAGAGAGAAGGCAGCGTGATGAGCTGCTTCCAAACTAGTTTTTAAACTTAAATTATTGATATTACATGAGTGACAGTTTAACTGGAAGAACACAACTCCTGAGACTGATGTGACTTGATCAGGAGACAAGCTGAAGAACAGTATCTTCTAAAGTGAGAAACATTGAAATCACAAGACAGCTTTCTTGCTTCACTGAACTTAACCACTAAATTCTTGGCTACACCTGCAAAGACATAATTACAACTCGTCTGCCACCAGTATACAGGCACATTTTGTCATTCCAAGTCGTCACATATCGCTGCTTAGTCAGTGGCCTTTCTCACTTGTCACATATCATTTTTGGTCATGAACTTTCCACGTTTAGATACAACTTTGAAGGTTAGCTGGTTGCGTTGGTTGTTGACGCTCTTGGATGTCGTGACAGCTTCAGCCTGTTACATGCATTGTCTGTTTTTAAAATACACTGCTGTTTTCACAGGAAATTTGCAGTTTGCATACAGTCTCTTTCAAATTAAAAGCACTATGTGCATGTACTGTATTGTGTTTGTGTCGTGTGTTATGCCAATGCTAAAGGATGGCTTCTTTCATCGGTGTCTGGTGCCACAAGTCACTGCACAAGCGCTGGATTTTGGCGACTTTGGAGCGAGACCAGGTTGCATGGATAGGTTTAGAGAAAAACATCATGGTTTGGGTCTACATTCATACGGGAAGGGAACACCGACCTCCTGGGTCAAAGTCCAGGGTTTGTTAGAACCACTTATGACTGTAGAGATTGATGGTAATCTTAACAGTGACACAGTAGCATACAGTGCCAAAAGAATAAATAATAAAACAAGACATCAAGCCGCTAAAAATCTGAAAATATGTAGGAGTATGATGCAAAATGTGCATAAAATCTTATGCCTACTCACCAACAATAAGCTCAACAGTGGATTCTTTATTCTGTGAGGGAAAGTAGCATCTATAGATTCCATTATCGGAGAGTTTGGCTGCAGACAGTGTCAGTGAAAGGTCTCCATGCTTCAGTTTCTCAATGGACACTGATGTTCTTCCTCTGTAAGACGGGTTTTGGTTACTGAGAATGTTTTGACCTTCATGCCACACATGGACAAATCTTGGTTCCAGGTCAAGTCTCCCCCACTCCACACTCTTAGAAACAACATCCACTGCAGGTTCCAGGTGGCACGGCAGGATAACGTCTTCACCAACTAATGTCACTATTGTTCGAGAAGGTCTAGCCCCCTGAGACTGGCCTGCAGAGACACATGGAACATTTTAATCCTGCATTTGGAACTATTGCACAGAATTACTGCTTGCTTTGATCGGTGATATTTTAATTTAACAAAAACACCATGCTTTTATTATTTAGATTTATCCCCTTTCATGCTCTCCATGCTGCTGTTTGTGTGTCAGTTACCTCTAAAGGAGTCTGCTAGTAGAAGAACGATCACGGTGTGCTGTAAAACCAAAGCACTGACGTATCCAAGGTTAAGTTTAAAGAGCAGTTCATCATTCAGGCAAAGCATCCTGGAGCTCTGGGGAAATAAAACACTTCTGAAATGTAAGTTGCCAGAAAGAAAAGGCTGTATGGATGTAAAAAGGATACATCTGCAAAAAGAAGTAATTCATAATTCATTCAAATCTCACTTAATAGAGACGATGCAAAACACTGTATAGGCAAAGGCAACAACAGTCTATATAGATTTTCATTATGTTGATGCTCAAAACTGATGCCAGAGAGTTGCAAGGACACTCCTGTCCAAAATATTCTTATGTGCTGAATCATAAAGATTTTCCCTCACTGGGATCAAGAGGCTAAACCAGGAAAACAGCAGCAGACCACTGTTCCTCCTTCAGTAAACGTTACAGTTTGTATAGCTGGAAGTTTGGTATTCACTAAGCCACATTTCTAGATAGCAAAGCATGATTCATCACTGCTCCAAAGCCCGATAGCAGCCATATTCTGTATCTGTCAGAAACTCATTTTCTAGACACATTTTGAAGTTATACATGGTTGATTAAAAGGCTTTACAAATATTTGACATGTTAGCAAAGAAAAAAAAACATGAAGTAGAAATGATGGTTTGAGATTCTGACTTTTAGGAGAAAAATAGTCAAAAGATTTTACACCTTGCAAAGCTTGATCAAAGGCTGACATTCAAATAAACAATGATGTGCAAATAATAACAACATGAAAACCATCTCTTCAGCCACTTGTACTTGCTTCAGTGTCACGCCCTTGTCACTGTGTGTTGGTGAACTGAAAATGCTGCAAATTAAAAGAGCTGGTTTCACTTACAGATCAACAGCCACAATCGGGACAGTAGAACAGTTAGTTGTAAAGTCGGACTGCAGTCCAGCTTTTTCATGTAGATCATTTGGGCATTAAAGATAACTGAGATTAATTGATTTGATTGTATATATGTATGTGTATGCTGACCCCTAGCTCCAAGTCAAATTTCTCTAAGGAGACCAATAAACAAACTGAACTGAACTGAATTTCTTTTACATCATTTAGTAGAAGAAACTGACGGCTTGTAATTTAACCATGAATGAATATGTGAAAAGCATCCAAGCTTGAAAACATAACAAATAAAGGAGCCAGCCTACTGGAAGAAATAACTGACAATTGACAGTGAAAGCACCAATACAATTAAAATATAAATATTAACAAAAGAAAACACATACCTGTTGTACCTCTGAGTCAGTTCTCCCCTGAGACTAAAAAAGCTGTGTGGGCAAGGTCCTTTGAAAATGTCGTTGGTTCCCATTCTAATGTCAATAATCAGCCTGCTGTGTTGGTGAGTTAATGAGTAACTGGGGAAAATTCAAGTGTTTGATATCAGAACATCCTCATATGTACAGACTTTACAGCAATGCCAAAAACATAATTTGTAATCACTTTATTTAAAGTTTAATAAAGAGGACAGACAGTTAGGCTACTTTGATTTACTTTCCATAGTTGTTAATAGAGTCTATAATTTTACATCGACTGTCATTTTTCCTTTTACTGTTTTCATAAAATACAAAAGTAAAAGCCTAAATTGGATTTA